CTTGTAGATAAGCTTCTAGATGACTATTCATGTATGTGCTACATATGCTATGTGCTATAGTATAACGAATTTGACTTCCTCCTTATTTTCTTCATTTCTTCCAGGGAGGTAAAGCCCCAGATTTGTTTAATGTAAAGTGATTTGATGTTGTTTTGGCAAAAAAAATGCAAAATATATTATAAAGGTTCAGCATGATGAACTTGTTTATGTTAAGACCATGATGGAATCTGCTTGTTGTTGATAAAAAGACCTGCAAGTTTCCAGAACAAGGAGGAATCTATTTCCTGAAGATCTGTATTTTCTTTTCTGTGAGGTAGGAATTTAGAATGTAAATAGAACTGATCTATATTCAGGCAGTCATTGTGAGTGAAAATCTGAAAATCATAGGCTTATAATAAGTCATGTTAATGATATCCTCTGTTAACTGGCAGTGGAGATTGTCCATAATTGGTCAGAGGGGATTTTACAATTCTTAGTAAAAATGTCCTTATAGAATATAAAAATACCCTTATGCAATAGGCATAAGATCTCAGTGCTGTCCTTCAGGAAGACAATCTGAACTATGGAGTTTTGCCAATGATATCTGGCAAAAACTGCCAGACTGTCTTAGACTGGGTAAATCATAGAATAAAATGCACAGTGGAAATTCTTTAGGTCTTTTTTCTTAGGTAAAGGAAAACTAGTGCAACACAGGACAAACAGCAAAAGACAAGAATGAAAAATAAGTGTCATCCTTAAAAATAAAGCTTAGTCCAGAGAGCATGACATAGTTAAGAAATATGTGCATATTGTGAACATGGTAGAACTGCTATTTTTGAAGTATTTATCCCTTTTAAAGTGTATAAAACTGACATCTAGTGGTAGCAAGAGCACTTTGTGTGCAACATAGCTTTATAGCAATACCAGTTTGCATAGCAAATTAACCAGCTGTAACTCTATTACAGGAAACTGCAGTCTCAATATATACTCATTTAGCCTAATCCAAATCATGTTTCTTTGTGTTACAGAGTCTTTCAAATTAAATCTGCCGCCTTTAGCAATATCGGACTTACGTGAAGCAAGATGGTGGTGTCTGCTCATCTTCACGCAGGCAGAGAGTCCTATCACATAAGTTTTGTCATGCTGAGGGACAGTTTTATTAGAGAGGAATAGGTTGGAAGAGATGTTAGGACTAAAATATCCACATCCAAAAAAGTGAGATAAGGGTTGAGGAATATCCACAGGGAAGCCAGAGGAGCTTGTTCTGCAGCTACCAATTTTAGACCTCTTAAGAATAACCAGAAAAACTGAGGCTTCAGAGCTGTGACGCGTTTCTCAAGTGTGACATTACTCAAAAGTGTAAGATGCTCTAGGATGGGAAGCAGGACTCAGGTCTCACGTGATTTCAGGCAAGACGTATGGCGTCCAAATCAGCAAAGCATTCGGGCATGTGCTCAAGTCATTACCACGGAAGACAGCAGGAAATGCACACTTGCAAAAGTCTGCATTTAAGTTATTACCGTCTTTCTTTCCATTTCTCATTCATAATGTTACCGTAATAGCATTTTCCTTTTATATTTTCTTCTGTATTTTTCCTGGCTTATCACTTAGATTTTAGTGTCTTTGAAAAATTTTTTTGCAGTCTACAATGCCCACCGCAATGAGGCTTTAATTTTAGCTTTGCCTCTAATG